CATTATCTATAGCAGTCTGTGTGTTGGTCTAGTTCAATTTATGTTCCCAGAGGTTTTCAGTCTCTGCGTTTCCTTCCCAGTCAAATCTGCATTGGTCTGAATTGTAACTGTTTTCAAGTATTAACATTTTTATATGCTTTAGATAACCATAATGTTTCTGTTCACTTCAGTGTTAATCAGCTTGTGGCAGAATCATTGTCCAAATACTGTAAAGCAAGCAGTGTTTATAATTATAAAATAACAAATGTTTAAATATGATGATAAATGATCTGCTGTTAAGGTCTAACCAATCTTGCCCGTTTCAAGACCACAGTCTGTAAATTTGTGGCATCTGATTTAATTTGAACTGCTTTGTGAAGTTTGATTTTTGTGAGGTTTTGCCTTCATGCTTTTCCAATTTTATAATGATGCTAAAATATACTTTGTACCAATATATTTTTGTTTTATAGTTTAAAAATATGAATATATTTTTTAAATCATTTAAAAATATAGTTTGTCCTCTAAATAATTACCAAAATATATTTAGAAGTATTTCCATATTTGTTAAAGGATATTTCAAAATACATTTACGTACTGTATATATGGTCTACCAATATATTTTGTGGCCATTTTTGTGTTTTCATCTAGAAATATAAATATATATTTCTAAAAGCATTTAAAATATATATTTTGCCATCTATATATTTTAGTCCATTCACATATGTCACATTTGAAGAAAATCTTGAAAATTGTTGTCTGTAACATGTGTGAACATATAACACATAAACCAGTAGGTTATTCCATCACACATTTGCATTTAGCATTTAGCTCTTGTAAGATTGGAAGTGTATTTTCTTGCCCCTGAAATACATTTTGAAATATATTTTGGTATATGACAGTTGAAACTAAATATATATTTTTTTAAATTAATAGATATATATATATAGAGAGAGAGAGAGAGAGAGAGAGAGAGAGAGAGAGTTCCATGATTAAATGGGTTGGATGCAGCCTTATCATATTTCTAGTTGAGCAGAATTTGATTTGAGGATTTCTGGCGTTCCACAAGTGTCAGGATCTTACCTCATCCTCATGTTACTCATATCTCTATCACAAATATGTTTCTCTATGTTTTCCGAACCCAGTTTTTAATGGTCTTCTGCGATAAAAGAGCTTGATTTACTATGACGACATCCTCCTCAATAAGAGCAAGACAAATTTCCACTCTGTGGACATTAATGAAACTAACTAACATTTTATTAAAGGGGTCATATGATGCTTTTTTTAAAGATCATTATTTTGTGTATTTGGTGTAACAGAATATGTTGACATGCTTTAATGTTCAAAAAACACATTATTTTTCAAATACTGTACATTATTGTAGGTCCTCTATCCCCCGCCTCTCTCAAA